ACACATCGACATCATAGGAAGAGCCAATAAGCAATAACCTCGACGACGAAACCTGCGAAGACACGAAGAACTAGCTAGTATACCAAGTGCATATTGAAGGCAGTAGACTCTCATATGTACTTCGCCACTCGAACTAGAATATAGAAATCACTCATTTCTGTAGTTGATACGTCGGTAGCAGACCTGCCTGTGTGCCGGTTCGTTTCCACAGGACGTTTAGCAACTGCAGCAGCTATAACAGGGGCAATTGCAATTGATAGTACGTAGTCTGCCAAAAAACATCACTGTGGGTAGCCCACCAGCGGCCAACAACCGCGAGCGGCCTGCGTGCGCGATTAGAAGAAGATCGTGAACGCAGATTGCGGCTTGAGCAACGGTTGCGGCTGCAGCCAATGCGCCCGTTATATGCGCTGGCAAAACACTATGCCTCTATTTAAAGCTTTCCCGAGACAGAACTAGTACCTTCAGCAACTAGAAACAAAGCAAAAGAGTGGTAGAAGAGTATGTTTGCCGCGAATGGCTGTAGCTAGCTGCATTATGGTGACTAGTGTCTGATACTAATAGTATTCACCACGACTCGTGGTGCTTGCCGGCCGGCATGATCATTACAGTGGCCATCAAATAGGAACAGGAAAAATTCGCCGCTGCCGTCTCCAGTATATGCACGGGATATCTATTCACAATGGCATTGCAACGGAGGTAAAACTGCCGCAGGAACAAAGGTTTGAAGAGAAAGCCATCTTGACCTGAGCTGCAAACCCGTAAGGAAGTACGTACGTGTACGCGACATAGCATTCGCGTTTACATTGCGGTATGTATATGGATATATCGGGTCAGTTGATCATCAGCTAGTGAGTAATTTCGCTACTTTAGACAACACATACTGCCAACGATAGTGGTAGCTAGGACGAGACAGCAGTGTGAAAAAGCAGTGGCTTGATCTGATGCTACTTCAGATACTACTGACGATGTTGCTCATAGGCGAGACTGTTCATTGAGCAGGAGCATGATCGACGAACAGGCAGATGGCAAAATTCATCGCTTAGCTTCGTGGCTCGTACAACTATGCGTTCACATTTGCAGACGATTGCCCGTTGTCATAGTAGCGGCTGCAGGAGTATACTGACCGGGATAAAGAAAAAGAGGAAGATATCAGTGCTGCTGAAACGAATGGCCCCGACGTATAGGAAAAGAAGCTACCCCAAGATTAAACTACTCATGTAGGCAGACTAGATCCATAGTGTTGCTTGCAATTATTGTCCACTAGTATACACCAGTAGCTATTATTACGCACAGTTGCTGCACCGAGGCCAGCTCTGTCCGACAACAAAGATCTATCCTGCTCGACACATTAGCTGACATCAGTTTTGGGTGGGTCCGCGTTTATTTATTTTGCCGCTGCTGCCATCGTTTTGGTTATTATTGATGCTGTTGTTTTTCCTCCTTACCGCGTGGGTACAGTTGCAACCGCTACTGGTGTTTTTACCTGCGCACCGGGTGCTAGCAGAGTTGAGCGGTACAGCTGCCGCCTCTGCTGCGGCCATCATTATTATGCCCCTGATACAGCAGATACACACATTCATATACGTAGGGTGACCCTTCGTCTCCTCGTCAAAAGATACGAAACTAAAAATAGATTCACCCACCCTAGTGGTTCCAAGTCCAGTAGATCTGCAGCGACTCGTCAGCCGTATTGCGCAGAGGCCATCTGGGCTGTAGTACGTGTAGAGGCGAGCAGTAGTATCAGCAGCATGCTGAACGCGGAGCTCAGGCAGGAAGGCTCATATATGCTGCACTACGTGGGCGGGGTGGGGCGTGGGAAGCGGAAAGGGATGGCAGACCTGGGCTGAGCTTAGCAACCGGGGACATCTGAGGGGGCAAAACGGCAGCAGTCGCAAGGGCCAACCTTCGTTGCGCCGTTGATGGATGTAGGCGAGGAGAGCCACTCAGCCGTGGCATCGAAAGCCGGTCTCACAGCTAGCCCAACTCAGTCGCCGCAGCGGCGACTGAGCTGGGCTCACTGTGTGCGGGCCCCCGGGAACCTGACCAACAGCAGCTAAAATAGGACCGACCTTAGGAAAGATTCGGGTGGAGGGCAGGGTGATTGGTTCCGATGTGGTGGGTTATCAATGGCAGGCGGAGATGTAGAAAGCATCAGGCGGACGCCAGAAATGTTCACCGACATATGGTTAAGGAGAAGCGCTACTTTATGCAACGTTGCTGCTATGTCGTGCGTTCACGGCGTATATATATGAGTACGGCAGTGATCTCATGTTACGTGCCGCTCCCTGGAACGCCAGAGGCCCGCATAGTGAGTACATTAGTTCGATCTGCCCCGGGCTCCTTTGAGCGGTTGGGCTTGAATACCAATTCATTATCGAGTAGGAAAAAGGATAGTCGAAAGTCAGATAGTTGGCAAGGCCTATGCTATGGTCAAGTGAAGCAGACTTTTGGTTCAATTTTACCGAAGAAATCTACAGCGTAACGGAGATCGGGGCATAGGGTCAGCACACGGATCGGCTCATCAGCAAGCTATATGGCCGCTTGCTGCCTTTGATGTTATGACTCTACGACGATCGTGTTGGAAAGCAATACGCTAGTGGAGTCAGAATTTAGTGGAAAGGAAACATGAAGCACAAACACAATGACAGGTACATGAAAACATGAACACACAAAACAGCTGGGCGGAAATGCTCAGAAGTTCATATTGTTTCTATTCCTGTGTATTTATATCTCGTTTAACACCGTCCAAAGCGGCATCCAACTTCAGACTGCCAGATTGTGAAATTTAAAATTCCAGGTGTGCCGCGGTATTTAATGTGCGTGTACACTTTTGAATTGAAAGAACAGGCTAATCACAAACTCCAGTCCTTCTAAAATCCACGGCATGACGAGAACTTCACAAAAGCCTCAAAACAGAAACAATTTGATACACGCCTGAGTAAATTCCATGGCTACATGCACGTGACATTATGTTGCTGGGCGACAAACCCATCAACAGAGTAGGGCTGGCAAACGCAACTGGACAGATGACCATAGACAGAGTAAGGGCAGTTGCGTTCACAAAAGCGATTATCACGGTGACATGCCAGTCACACGTCATTGAGGGGTTTGCAGGAATAGAAAGAAAGAAATGATATTATTTAACCGTACTTATATCGTGGTAATATCATGGGCAGTTCTGTAGTCGAGTGCATTGATTATAATGGTTTCCTAATATAGAGTGTTTATTAAAATTCAATCACGCACATACGTACACGCACACATACGCAAAGCTAGATCTACATAGAAAATCCCACTAATATTTATTTCACGATTGCTCAGTATAATCCGCTTGGTTCATCCACGACAATCCAGCATCCTTTCAGGGACGGACAGCGCTCGGACACGTTGATATTGCCTCACAAAGGTAAGGCGTACCCAAGTGCGAGACAAGCGTATCAACAAAGCAAGTCATCTGCATTTAAATTTATACGACCCCAGCTGCTAACATCCGCTGCCTGCCGTCACAAAAGTCCGCCGGATGCACCTGATACATCACTCTTAGGTCGACTTAAGCGCCCTGTTGTGCAGGCGTTATTTCATCTATTCGTTATTATCAAGTAGATTTACTGGGGAAAGTTAGATTTGATCGAGTACAACAATTGTACGATGAGCGGCAAAGGAGGCTGAAATACAATTGAGAAGAAAAATTGCGGGAAAACTGTTTAAAACTCGAGATTGTTACAGGCAGCTCGTGAAACAGAGTTTATATGAGTATACATTAACTTCATAGTTTTTTGGATTTATTGTCATCATTAGGTTTCTGCAAAATGTTTTCAGCATCATCATCACTGCTTAAACAGGGTGCCGATGATGTGTACCGGCCACGGATTAACGTTTGGCTTGAAGTTGTTCGTTATTAGCATACCATAAGCTTCGTCACAGGATATCTAGTGCTATATATTAAAGGCGAAGTAAATGGATTTATGTGTAAATGTGTGCATATTTGGGTGCGATATGAGTTCCTATAGTTGTCCCTGCTATAATATGGTACATATGTACCTAATATGTACACTATAGGATCAATACTTGGGGTGGATGAGGTGAAACGAAAATCAAACACGTCTTTCAGGCTCCCATGCTGGAAGTCGCCTTTTCGGACACGAATGATGATACCAACAGGCTCCGGACAGACAGGCATCATTGTGGCCTATAGCCATGAGCACCATAATGGCATCGTCATCATTTTACAGAAGAGCGCACTGTCAATACTGTTGTCCCATAATATCACAGGTGGTGAATCAATCATCTTACAGCGAGTTTTGATGCTGATCTTAAACAGGATCTTGTTTAATGAGTTATAGTTGGTTCAAGTTGAATGATATTGGTTGGCTGGCAATTTTAGGCGCTGCTTGTCACGCGTCTGCCATTTGTGTATAACAAACTTTCTAGCAACATCCAGTATTTATATAGGGGCGTCAAACAACGCGGAAATAAAAGAGCATCGCGAGCACTTTCCCACATGATCTGTCTTCCTGTCCTCCTTTTCTTTCCGTATGTTAAGTACTGCCATTATAGACTCCTTTCATACCCAGCACAATTTAATTGTAAAGGAGCACGATGCTTCAATTGTTCGATTGTGCCGTGCCTGTTAATTATTGTGTTCTTATTAACCATTATATCAATGATAGCTACGCATGCTGATCGATTTGGATTCGTTTACGGTCATTACGTACTCTTTTAATGGCTCCATGTTGCTATGTGTTCATTGAAGTTTCTATGTATGTATGTATGTGTGTGTCTGTATATTGTGTCTTCACATTGTACGCAGTTATGTCATGTAGGCGATTCTGTAGAGCTTGTCTACTAGCCGTGTTAAACGACGCTTTTCTATTTGCGTAACGGTATTGTACCCCTTGTTGTTGAAATTGTGTGCAAGGGTTTAGCCAGTGTGTTTGTTTGCTGGCTCGCTGTGCGTCTGCTTACTTTTATCTAGGTAACGAGTGTCTTATACGTACAAGTGAAGTTGGTAGTAGCGGAATTGGCCTGTTGAAGGTGGTTACCGCCGTAGCCGGCGGCCCCTCCGGGGTGTCTATGCCTAGTTTGCCACAGCTTACAAGGCTTACATGAGCAGAAGAGGTCCTGCAGGGTCTTCTTGAACGCCATGCGGAAGTCTCGATTGAAGTACGCGTAGATGATGGGGTTGAGTGACGAGTTGATGTATCCGATCCAGAAGAGAAGGTCTACCACAACCTCAGGACAAGGACAGTCGGTTGGAGCACACAAGGACGTTGTCACGTACCACAGAAAGAACGGTAGCCAACATAGAATGAACGCTCCCATGATTATGCCTAGTGTTTTGGCTGCCTTATGTTCACGCTTCATCTTGGTGATGTTGCGCTTTGTCGGCGTCGACTGACCTGACTCGGTGTCCTCTGCGCCGTGCGAATTTCGATGAGGCGGCGCGTGGATCACCTGCTGCTCGCCGCCGCCAGGACCCATCTGCGTTTTGCACAGCATCTTCTCCTGTCGGGTCGCTTCTAGATAGATGCGCCAATAAGTGAATAGCATTACTGAGCACGGTATCCAGAACGAGATCGACGACGATATAATAGCGTAATACTTGTTAACTTTGAACACACACTCGTTCGGATGGTCGGCTAACCACTGCCGATGCTCTTCCGTCGTGTACCAGCCGGTAAATATGGGCACGAAGGATATGAGCAGCGAGACCGTCCACGCTAACGCTAACATGATGAAGACCCGTTTCGTCGTGATCTTCGTCGGGTACTCGAGTGGCTTGATGATCGCGTAGTAGCGATCGACAGATATGCAGCATAGGTGCATAATCGACGCTGTCGAAAAAAGGACATCGCACGAATTCCAAAAATCGCAGACCACCTGATTGAACATCCACTTGCCCGAAATGGTGAACGACGCATTGAATGTCATCGCGAACAGGGCGACGAGAGCGTCCGCTAACGCCAGCGATACGATAAAATAGTTGGTGGTGACTCGCAGCTTGTGGTGCCTTATCACTGATGTGACGACGAGCAGATTGCCGAAGATGGCCGTCAATATGATCGAGATCAGCACCACCGACTTGGCGATCGTCTTTGCCAACGTCTGCCATTCTGGGCTGTCGGCAGCGGCGGCGGTGGCAATATCGGCGGGGCTGGTTGCCCCCGCTTCTACCGACATTCGGTATCACGTCCAGCGTTGGCCAGCGTCCGAGGCAACGTCGCGGGGCAGCCTGGCGCCTTCTTCCGATTTCAACCGACGCAACCACTACCACGACCGGAAGAACCACCGCGACAGGGACGACAACGTAAGCAACGAACCTGCCTCGTTGTTCCTGTTGTTGCTGTTTTTATTGCAGAGGGCGCCAAGCAAGAGTACCTCGGGCAAGCGTTATCGAACGGGACAGGTTGAACGACGAGCTCCTGCGCGGACCGGTTTTGTCGTTCGTGGTAAACACCGTTAAGCTTCAGATAGGTTCGGACGCTAAGAAACGGAGATAGAGAAAGAAAGAGGGAGAGAGAGAAGGCTTTAGGGACCACTGGAAACAGCAACAAATAACGAAGATGCGAATTAGAGTTTGTTTGTTGCTAATTTCTATTGTATTTTCTATAATTATTGTGCATCCGGGCCTCGGGTTTCTGGACTTCTGCAGCAGTTGCCCACTGTGGCACACTCTTGTACAAAAACCTTTTGGGGCCACGGCTGCGTTGAACTTCGCGAGTCCTTTGATCTATCTACACACAGGCTCGGTGATGCGCAAGCATGGACACTCGTACTTGAAGGGTTTGCAGCCTTTTCTCCTACAGCTTGAATGGCTTCGTCCACCAAGGGACGATTGATTTTATCTACGATTTTTGCCTCTTTTGCTGGAATTCATAGGGATAGTGACAATGACGCTGCTATTCGGCCGTCCATCGAGACAATTGTTGCAAACGGTTTGAACTGTGGTCTAATGCTATAATTGATGACGAAATTGGTGATGCGGGCGCGTACGTAATGAACAACGGCCAGGACCGAACACGTCGGTGTTGATTCTATATACGGTGATGGCAATCAGATAGTCGAAGTTGTTGACGCAGCGATGCTTGTCGTTGGCGAACTGTGAGAGCACACTATGGAATAGCGGTGTATCCAGGGGTTAGCCAAAGCACTCCACCACTCCACAGAAAACGATTCACTGATTGCTAATTTACTCGTTTTTTTTTCTATTCGTGACCTTTACTTCAACCAGCTGAACCTTCCTCTCGTTGCTAAGCAACTAAAATGAACCAGCTAACTGAAATTAATTCACACTATACAATATCTACAAGAACAACGAGAATTCCTTAGTCGTCGCAAGGTAAATTTCTTCGGCTATCGCACCTAGTGAATCACAGTTTAGCGAAATCCAAGGAACGAGCTAAGATCCGATGAGCAAATACTAACAATCATCCAACCAATGGCAAAAAAGCAATATCCAGTATCCAGTCAGCATATTCAAAATCCACTGGAGGATATATGGAGGCCAGTGATAACCTACTGGAACCGAGGATCGGGTAACTGCACTAAAGCACACAAGCAATCGTAGACAAGGAAGAAGAAACTGTCGAAGTGGTGCTAGTAATTCCTTATTGTTGTTGTCGTTGCTGTTACTTTTGCTGTTGTCGTTGCTGTTGTTGTTATCACAGTGTCGTAGCAGTTGGTATTATTTTTCCGAGAATGAATCTGTTCGCTCGAAACACTCACAACAACGATATCTTATCCGTCATGCTTGAGACACTCCTTCAGACCCGGGCCTGCTTCTAGATCTTCACGAGATAACTTAAATTTCGGTGTCGGCAGTCGGAATCGGTAACGATTGGTCGTGTAATTTTCGATCGCATATAGTAGACTATCTGCTGCTTGCTGATGGCGCCCTTTGTGCGTTGCGCGGGGAGACAAGGCAACCGCGAACGCACTTCAAGTTCTGGCCGCGCGGATGTCGCTTAGGCCTCGTCCGCTTGAGGCTCATCGGCTTGCGGTGAGCCGACTGACCTGCGATTCTACTTCGCACCTCACCTCAGTAGAGGATCGCTCGCTCGGTATAGCAGCGAGACAGCTTTATTCCTTGCATACAAGATACACACTACTAAGAAGGCAATTCTGAGCGATCTGCCTTTTGAGGACTGGTCTTGCTGTCGACTCGTTCTTTTTTTTTAGTCGGTTTCTCTATCGTCTAACCGCTTTGATCTGTTTTTAGCCAGGTTCGGTTCAGCGCCAACTCGGCGCGTCTGAGCGTTTGCTACTGCTGCCGCCAGTGCTGCCTCGGCTTTCCACAGTCTCTCGCAGAGTCTAACTTAGCCTGTGCCGGACACGGCCGATAAGAGCTGTTACCGCTGTAACAGACAGGTGCAATGTGGTGTGAGGATTCCAAGCTTTCATAACTGCTTCAGAATTAGCCGATGTACCAGCTTTTTCCTTTCGTATTATTGCTGGCGTATGTCTCTGTACCACCTTGAGGCCTTCGCGGTTGTCCGGTCCTCGAACAGGCCCGCCGCGAACGGTTGTGTTAGGTCCGTCCACTATGTGGCAGTAAAACTAGTCATCTGTCGGTTACATTACAACAATTGATTCGCTCGACAGGCCACTGTACCATTCACTCTCACTTGCTTGCCTTTTCCCTCTCTTTCCCTTACGCGCGGTATATACATATATATATATACCGTATATATATGTGTGTGTATGTGTATGTGTACATAAATATAGTTTAGTCAAAGTATTAAGAACTAAATGGGCAATAACGTCCTTTTGTTTTGTGGCGCAGTGTGTTTGTAGCTAACTGTCACAAAACACGCTCACTGGCCTGCCAGTGTTCTGGGGGGGCCAGATTCTGAACCGCGCAGCCCCTTGAGGTGTTCATGGCATGTGTAGACGCTTGCACGTCGTTTAGTTAAGCGTTCGGTAGTTGACGCCACGTCGATGAGCTTAATTATCCGAAATAAAAAAGATATGGCGACGTATATTAGCCACTCGCTAACGATCACTTCGTGTACGGCGTATACCTGTACACACACTTCGAGTATTAATAGGCAATAGTACTAGCAGTAGTGGTTATGTGACCGAGATACCGGGTACACGCTTTTTTGGGGTTTATTCTAGGGTTCGAAGCCTTTTCAAACCTGCAGCGATTTCCACGTTTTTCGTTTTCAAGTAGACTTTGCCCTGTTGAGCAATTGTTACTATGCCACCTTGACCGTTATGCCGCAATGAACATAACAGCAAAAGCGGAACTGACTTAGCTACACGCCACCTACCCCGGTGCGTTACCACTCCAGTGCTGCTGTCACTTTGTTTCGTTGTTGGTGTTGGGTTTGTGATGGCCAGCCGTAGCGGTAGTGATGATTTAAATTGTCAAGCTCACACAGGCAGTTCAACCTGTGCCGTACTTCGCTTCTGAGCAGTTCGGTCTGACAGCACTCATGTCGCACACAAGAGCTTTCTTGCCGCTTGGCCACTGGCTGTCATTGCCCGCTTGGGCAATGGCGCGTCGTCTCCCCACAACGACGGCGGCGCTACGGAGATCTAATTGTCTGAGTTGTAGAACCGCTGTTGGGCTGCGTTTTTCCCTAACTCTCGTATCCTCACCTAGTCAGACAGGCAGTGTCAGTTAAGGATGGGATTAATCTTCATATACAGCCAATACTTCGTTGTAGACGATGCCTATCCGCGCAGCACTTTCCACAGTGTCACGTCGCGCGTCGTTCGGCGTTGAACGTTTTGTCTATCCTCTCTTGTGCGGTGGACCAGCCTACCGGCTAATGACCCGCGCAAGTCATCGCTATATGCTCGACCCTTCTGCCTCACGACTTTCTTAACCACCGTTGTCGTCGTTTAGTTCAACTCCAGTTGCTGCAGTTTCTGTTACCTGCACAGGTATTGCCACTATCGTTACTGCGGCTGAGAGGTGACCAGCACGTTTTTCGCGGTCGTCATTTTCCACTGGCTGTCGCCTGTATCCGTCCTCCCGACTCGACTCCTCTTCGCTGTCTCTCGGCGTCTGCTGAGATCGTCTATCTTTTCTGTATCGGCCGCTTGCGACGATTTCTCTGCCGATCAACTGTTACGGGTGCGGCTGCTACTGTCGTTGCTGCCGCCGTTACCAGTCGTATCCCTGTATCGCTCTGGTCTCTGCGTCTCCCTGCCTGCCGACACTGCGGCCCTGTCAATTGCTCTCGCACATAGAGAGCATTCGCGCGCGACTCACAGTCGCTTAGCTGCTGCTGTTACAATCGCTCATTTTTTCTGGGCGCTCAACACTCGCTCAGCGCCCGACACTTGCCCAACGCTTCGTTCACTTGCCAACGCGGAGAAGCGCCTGTAGATCGCGCGCTTTGTGCGGCGGCGGCGGCGGCGGTGGCGGTAGTGGCAGTTCTCATGTGTCGATTGCTGTGTCGCACAGTGGACACGGCGGCCGCCGCGTTAATAGCAGTGGCGAGTGGTTCGGTGTCTTGCTAGACGCGGCGCGCCGCTTCAATTGCTGACGCGGTCTTTACTAACTCCGATAGCCAGCACAGCAAACGTCCATCGGCCAGACAATTGACCAGAGGATGACTTTCTGGCTGCTGTTACTGTGCGTTTGAAATTGTTGGCCGTTGACTAAGGCGACCGCTAGTTCCCAGTGACACCAGTCATTTAGTTAAAACCAGTCTTGAAGTTGGTTGACTGGTTATAGCGGCTGGATGCTGCTGCCTCTTGCCTCGCTCGTTGGCCGTCGCTGCTGCTGCTTCTTCGATGCTGCTGCTGTCCTCTCGGGCCGTCTGCTGCTTGGCGGTGCCAGGTTGCCTTGCTGCTGCTACTGCTGCTGCTGCCGCGGGCCAGGCAGACGCGCCAGCGGCGCTGTGTCGGCGTGCTGGCTGTGTGTAAGTGCATCAACGATGTTGGGTGAGAAGGGACCAGTGCGCCCTCGCACTAGGCGCAGCCGCGCGCGCTCTTTCGACGGCTGTTTCAGCTCAAAACGGCAGACCGCTTAACCCGCCATTGTCGGAGCCGACGCCGCTGCTACAGTCGTGCGCTCGCCCGCGCATCGTTGGTTCGTTTGTTCGTTCGTTCGTTCATCCTGTGCTGGCTTACCCTCTCACCTGCTGGCGGAAAGTTCACCCCTCACAGCGCTCAATCGAGCCTCGGCCAACCCTCAGCTACCATAGCGCGACATACACTCGCAGACGCGCGCGTACATAACAAGCAAAGAGACCTCTCAAGTACCCTCCGCCTTTCCCTCTAGGTCCGTTGACAGGCTGGCAGCAGCCGAAGCTGCTGCAGTAAACTTGAAGACACAACGAAGAGCTCCGAGCGGCCACAACCAGCTGCGGACGCCCGTGTGCAAGCAAACAAACGAGCAGTGTAGCTGACAGCGAACTGTGCAGCGATAACAACTACTATACTTCCACCGACGGCTCTTTGGTTCCCCTGTTGTCTCTCTTATAGCTGCGACAGGAACACTGGCTGGCCGGATAGCTTAGAAGAACAAAATGTAGCGGAGGAAGAATGAATGGCAGGGAGGGGTGTTCACTTGGTGGTAGGAGAGATGAAAGCAAGCCTAACGCGGCGACGGTTGTTATGTCCATCGTGGAGGCCCCCGTCACGCACACAGCTAAAGGGAAAGGGAAGTGGCGGGGACGATGTTCGCAACAGAGGCGATGGAAGTAAGGGGAAGACTAGAAAGGAAGGGTCTTTTGGCGATGACATCAGTGAACGCCAGCCGGTTCCTGCTTGTTCTCTAAAGCAGCACAGAGATTGTGCTTTGCTGGGCCTCCTATTCTAGACTAAATTATGCTGTAGCGCACTCTCGCTCATTTCTTCGCTGTATAGAAAGAGGCCTGGAGCCGTCGTCGTCGTTGCTAGTTGCACGTAGCTAGACACGCAAAGAAAGAACAAAGCAGGTGCCCGTCTGGTTCAATCTACCGTACGTTCCCCTAAACGGCGTCTCGCAGCCTGCATTGGCAGCAGCGGTACTGGGGCCGACTGGCCCTCTTAGGCCGTTCAAGCCGGCGTTCTATAGGCGCCACTCTACGTAAAACCCGCCGACTGTGGCCGTCGGCCAGGTCGGGCCGGATGCGCTTTGTCGCTGCCTTTCTCTTTCCAACGCGACGCCGTTGCTGCCACTACTGTTTTGCTGCCCACGTAGACGTTGTGACTACTCAGTCGCCCTGATTGGATATCGGCATCGCTGATTCCTCCGACCGATTATCGATGTGCGCATTGCCTTATCGGGCGGGATCTCAACTTAGTGGCTTATAACGCTTGCGAAAGCTCGGCATTTGAGTCCTTTCACGTCTTCAACCCCTTGCTTTTCATATGACTGACTTTTTTCTACTTCTATATGGTATTGCTATAAATAACTAGTAAGTTCTGCTGCCCACACTGGGCACATTGTCGCATCGGCAGAACACGTCTAAGGGAGGAATCGAATAGCGGACGGATAAGCGAATAAGGAGCCGTTAGTCCGATTAATAGTAGGAGTGGGGTCTGCGATCGCGTGCTGCTTCGCTCGGGCGTGGATAGCAATTTCGAAAATTTACTGATAGGAACTTAGACCTCACACATGCGGCACACATCAGTTGAGCGACACGTCCACTGAAATAGTTGCAAATCCAAGAGAGAAAGGTGCACACGTTTAGTTACGACTAGCGCTTGCTAAGTTTGCCTATACTGCCAAGTTACAATTGACAGAGCTGCGCCCTACCCTGAAAGCCGACTGTTACCAAGGGATAGCAAAAAATAGGTTAAACACACAGACACATATATATATGACAGTAGCATTGAAACGCAAGCGTAGGTTGTGAACTGCAGAGACCTAAAAAAAAAGGTTAGTTGTTGTTGTTGTTGTTGTTCTGGTAAGGTTTAGTCGCCTGGAACATTTCTTTTTTATGGACTACTAACGTAGCAGCAGACGCACTAGATACATAGAGCACACCGAGTAAAACAAACAGCGATCGTATTACTTCTGGAATGACTGTTGCTGCTCCTTTAGGTCGTTCGGACCTGGACATGTACATAGAGCCTGGCCAAGAAAGGGGACGTTTCAGACATCCAGGTCGACTGGAGGAGACAAATAACGAAAAAGAAAAACAGAAATGAAGAACAATGAAGGGTGAAAGAAAAGTTTGCTTGTTAAGTTACCGGTAAACTATCTGCTACAATGTTCAAACATCTATTACAGTTATTATAATCAAATTATTTATTATCGTACTTTTGCCTCTGTTTGCAAAGAAACAAAGGATCACTGCGTACCTGCTGTTTCATTACATGAGTTCTCAGTCACAATTTAGCACTAATCTCAAAACGACGTTTTTCTCACGTTGGACTAAATCGTGCTCCGTAGACAACAACGCAGTTCCTAAACCAGGCGTTTTTTTTTCAATTTCTAATTTTTACTTATCGGCTACAAAAAGAATGGGTCGAAGCACCGTGGGAGAAACCTTTAACGCGTGCTTGCCAAACTCTGAAAAGTAATTGAGAAAACCTTTCAATGAAACAGTAGGTAGTGTTACAATTGAATCATATTTTAAGAACCTTTTCGAAGCAGCTTCCCGAGAACGCATGAAGCCAGTACAACTAAAAGTGCCCATGGGGCCACACATATGCCTGCAACCGTGCGTTGTATTAGTACATCAAAATTACAAAGTGCTGCTGAGGTGTATAGGAGCAATTCTAGATATACGAAAACATCTGTTAGGGCTGCTTGTGAAGAAGTTCGAACGTCAAGGAAAATCCGTTCACACAACACGTAGCAAATATGCCTCAGAGTACTTCGCGCAGTTACAATGTACCTCAATTAAGCCGATCGACCTTTCAATGAAATGTCGTAAGAAACTAAACAATATTCGGTTGCGTCTGAGTGAATTTGTTTATTAGGAACATGAAAACGAAGCGAAAAAAACAATCACCGTGAACCTCTACGGGAAGCTGAACTGACTTCACTCACGCCATTTGCTAACAATACGAGTGTGCAGAATGTTCCGAAGGAATCGCTAATCTATAGAGCTGTAAATCTTCATTTCCAAGAAATCGAATGTTTAAAGAGATCGAAAACTGAATCGATAAATGATGCCCAAACAAACCAAGGTTGCAGGGTTTCCTGAAAAGTTCTTGCTGCTAAGTGACCCGAAGGCTCCTGTGGTTTGCTTGAAACATACGCTCTTACTATTTTAGAGGGAAAACTGGATTCGCTAATGGATGCTTCTTTCTGCTAGTGTCAATGTAATTTGGTTCTTTGTTCTAAAATAATTAAAGCTCCTTGAGAAAAGGTGCCCTCTGTGTCGGACGCTGGCCAATGTTCCCAGACGCCGAGACGGTTTGTTTTCTAATAGAGCAGCAGATTAGGGCATGCTGGTATGTAAACAGCGTTCAGTTGCACGTTCGCGCCAAATCACATCAATATAAGTAACCTAAATAAAAAAAAATGTGGCGATCCAAGCTACCGAGTTTGCACGATTCGGTTTTTTACGCTTCACGAAATAGTTAATCGTAAATGGCGTCAGGGGCTTAGCACTGCGAATCGTCGAATAAAATTAATTTCGACATGAAGCCAACATCGGTTCGCAGGTTTGTTTCGACCTGATGCGAAAACGTACCGCAGTTGGCACAATTTATAAATTTCAAGTCCTTGATGGCGTAAGCCTTTGACAGCCTTTGAATCGGTACGCACGTACAACGATATACGCCCTAGCAGGTAAGCATTGAAGATCACAATGCTTTTTGTCGGATGGCTGTTTGACTAGATATCTTATACTTCTGTGCATGCAGTTCGTTTTGGCATAAGTCCAGGTATCCTTTCGAGCTGTCGTTATTCCTTGCCTACCAAGATGAATATAGCATTAAAGATTTTAGCATGGTATGACCATTAATGACAGATATATGTTTGTAGGGAGCGAGAAACGAAAATACGTCGTCAGTTCGGGAGGGCGAAGGCGTAGAAGACTCATTTTAGCTTTAGCTGGTCACGAATTTCATTCGCGCAACGAGCGTGCAGTCGTACAGGGAACACCAAAGATGTCGCTTAAGAGAATACGAATAGTGCATTGTACGCGCATGTGGCTTGAATGAAATAGCGCCCCAAGGTGCTTTAACAAAATAACAAACGTCCGACAAAAAAAGAAGAAAATAATATTTTATCTGCTTACCGTATTGAAACGTGTACCGTACAATGCGGTTCCGTCGTAAGATTGACAGGTAGATCACTGAGCATCGGTAGTATCTGAGGTGTTTATATACATACTTAATTGATATTGGAAATTGTCCTGATCGATTGCGGACAAATGTCTAGGCTACTTTTTGCCGGAGCCAGGGCGATTTGCTAACTTGTGGAGGAGCATCATTTGGTTATTCGTAAATAACAGATAGTATGTAGTCTCTGCCGATGATCTGGAAATAATCACCTTAATCAGATTTTGTTTTTGACCACAAAAAATAAACAATACAGTGTGTGCAATTTCTAACTAATATTTTGGAAGCTTTCTTGTATTCCCTCTTCGAATTTTTAGTTTGCTTTCTAGCTTCTAATAGCTAAAAATTCAGCTATGCTCAGGAATAAGTAGCTGACTGAACAACTACGGCGGTGATATAATATAAATAATAAGGGAGATAAATAAATGTGGTATAGAAGAAAAAACAGACGAAAATATGGTAGCTGACTAATTGTGCTCGTCGAAGTACCACTTTTAAACTTC